ACAGACTGTTGGGTTGTTCTCCATAGCATCTCATCTGTTACATGTGGTGATGTTTCCGCTTAATGTGTTTATTGGTAAGTTCTAAACAAGTAAATTAGTAGAGAATACCCCACCTTACACATCAATTTAGCTACTAAAATATTGTATATATTATTATAAATCAAATCACATTTATATGACGCAGAGCCCCTGACTATTAAAAGGAAATGCTTCTCTAATCCCTTTGTAAACCAAAGAATCACTTTGTACAGTCAGTGAATACTTGATCATCTATCTTTTCAGAAAATTTTAAGTTTCATGACATAATGATAATCTCTATTAAAAGGCATGCAAGAAAGGGTGGCAAGGGGTAGAAAATGTGGAACAGCTACCACACAGACACACTCTCACACGGGCTCACTGATTTTCCTCAATTTTCAGATGTCTTCCTTTTTTTTTTCCTCTTTCTCTCTTTCTTTCTTTCTTTCCCTCTTTCTTTCTTTCTCTCTCCCTCTTCCTTCCTTCCTTCCTTCCTTCCTTCCTTCCTTCCTTCCTTCCTTCCTTTCTTTCTTTCTTTCTTTCTTTCTTTCTTTCTTTCTTTCTTTCTTTCTTTCTTTCTCTTTTTCTCTTTATTTTTTCTTTAGAGAGATTTTTGCTATTGAGTATGTGCCCTCACTGGACAAACAGAGACAGAGAGACAGAAAACAGAAATCACCCCCCTCCCCCCCAGGGGAATGGCCATTTCTCAACCCCTTCTCTTCCATTCTTCTCTCGAGATTTTGGGCATACATGGACATGTGCCTGGCATGAATTTTAAGCCACTGGGTTCGGGACTCAAACCACTGTTGACTACATGGGAATCCAGCAATGTAACCATTACACCATCTGCTGGTCCCAATTATCTGATGTTTTTCTATTAAAAATAATTCTGGGGCCCAAAATTCTGAGAATTACTTTAATTTTCTGTTTTAAATACATACAGATGACAGAATTCAAGTTCCTGCCTTGTCCTATTCTTTTTTCTTTTCTTTTTTTTTCCCCTTTCTTTTTTCTGTTTCAATTCATGTAGAAAAATCCTGGAATTTATGCTGGTGAAAAAACAATATGTGACACAAATTGAGATGCTCATTAAACTCCACAGCATTAGCATTTTCAGCACTCCTAGGAGAATTTACTGCAGCTTTTGCCTCAGCCTGAGAGGATATGGCTTCTACACTGTTCTTTCTGGGTTTAAAGTTCTCCATTACTCTGACTTTCCTATCAAAGTGCAAATGCCAGCTTAGATTATTTTTGTTATTAACTTATGTTAATACACTAACATAAGTAATTATAGAAAGTATTTCAAACTTCTCTCTCTCTCTCTCTCTCTTTATTTATTTATTTATTTATTTATTTATTACCAGAGGGCACAGGTATTCACCAAAGAGAGCCAAAGAGACAGAGAGAGAGAGAGAGAGAGAAAGCACTCCCAATAAGGTGTGGTCATGCTGCTAACCCTGATCCTCATTTCACCATCCTGTAGGTTAGGGAGACAGAGAGAGAGAGAGGGAGTAAACACCCTACAGAGGGACAGGATAACACTACAATTCATTCTCCTCTTTTTCTCCATTCTGTTGGGATTTGGGGCATGCACACACATGCATCTAGTGTATTTTTCAAGTCGATAGGGCTGAGACTCATATCGTGGTTAGCAGTGGGATCTGGCACCTTTAACCAATAGACTATGAGGCCAGCCCTCAAGCCTCTTTTCATTTCAATGTAATAACTGATTGTTTTTTTTCTTTTGAGAGTTTTTTTTTTTTTATTGCTATAGGGCGCATGCGCTCGCCCGACAGACAGACAGAGACAGAGAGACAGAAAGAGAGAAGTCACCCCCCAGGGGGGATGGCTACGCCGCAATCCCTTCTCCTCCATTCTCCTCTCGGGATCTTGGGCACGCATGCACATGCGTCCAGTGTGAGTTTTAAGCCACCTGGTCTGGGACTCGAACCACGGTTGACTACATGGGAGTCCAGCGACATAGCCATTATGCTAACTGCTGGTCCCACAATAACTGATTTTTAAAAGTAGAAAAAAAGAAAAACAATAGAATATTTTTCATAACCAGAAAGATGAAAGTACTAGTTCATCATTAAAATTAAATTTTATAAGCATTTTTATTTAGGCAATGATCCCCAGGTTTTATGTAGTATTCTTGGTCAATTTAATGCTCACTGTGTTTATAAGTTGTGAACCTAATTATGCTAAGGCATCACAATGTTGGAGAGGTCTATATGATATAATCTTTCCTTCAGGAGGTTGAGCTCCATTGAAGAAGGATTTCAAGATGTGAAAAACATTATATTCTGTTTCCATAACATGAAAAAGCGAGCAATTATGCCAAATAAAAATGTAAAATGTCCTAGCAAAGGACAGAACTTTGTATGTATTGAGCCATGAGAGCTGAGAAAAATCTTGATTCAATGATCAGAAGAAAGGTATTTCAGGGACCAGCAGTTAGTGTAATGGCTGTGTCGCTGGACTCCCATGTAGTCGACTGCTTTGAGTCCCGGAACCAGTGGCTTAAACTCACTCCAGGTGCGCGTGCGTGTGCGCCCAAGATCCCAAGAAGAGGAGGGAGGAGAAGGGATTGAGGTGTGGCCATCCCCCCCGGGGGGGGGGGGTGATTTCTTGCTTTCTGTCTCTCTCTCTTTGTCTTTCTGGCGAGCACATGTGCCCTGTAGCAAAAACCTCTCAAAAAAAGGTATTTCAGACCAAGAAATCCTTTGATTTTTCCCATTGACTATTTCAGTTAATGATCAATTTGTAAAAGTAAGTGGACTGATTTAACCATGGTTTCTGATAATCAGTCTTTAAAGTGAATTGCATTTTTTTTTCCATTTATACATTTTTTTAAAAGTCTTTACAGACTTAGTTCTCTCTCTCTCTCTCTCTCTCTAACTTGCTTCTATATGAGAATATAGTTAGCTAAGTCAGTCAGGCTTTTATATCAGACTGGATCATTGCTAAGCCTGTTTAGATTACTGTGGTTTTCACGTACCTTTTATCTTAGATTTCAACTGAAATCCATGTATTCAACTTTCGTACTGATAACTGAAAACCTGATATTAGTCTCCTGAAAAAATCACATTTTTAAAGCAAAACTCCAGTTCTCAATTCTGCTTGCTCTGATCCACTTATTTTTTATTCCCCTTTCAAGTTTCTATTTAAACACACCTCTTTGTCATATGCTGATAAATATTAAAATAACAGGAAAAATCTGCCTGACTTATTTAAGCTGATAATAAGAACAAAACACGGGATGTGTCTCCTCCTTCCTTTTCTGACTGCGGTTAGACGTTAAGATTTTTGAAACCTATAATCACGTAATAATTGGTATCACTACATTCTCTGCCCATTGAAAAGCCAGGATTTCTGAAGTGTGCCACAAAGACAGACAAAAACAAATTGCCTAAGTGGTATTGTCATTTCTTTGCTCCATTGTTTTAAAGGAATTTAGCAAAAGAATCTCTAGTTGCCAAGCCGTAGTTACGGTGCCAATAATCACAAAATGATCTTTCCAATAGCATCTTTTGGCTAATGAGCTCATTTATAGAATCATAACTATCACATATTCTCCTAACGTTTGTCAGTATTTATTACAAGAAAAGGAAAACATAGTCTACAAATATTCAACCTGATGTCTAAAGCATTTTAGCAAATGTACTAACAAAAAAGCAAACCACAGTATCTCACTGGTAGGCCAACAGGAGAAAAGAGGAGTTTCCAAAGCCACCTCCTTTGATCTCTAAGTACGTAACACTAGTTATACCTTCAAGCACTCTACTTTCTTTTTATAAAAATTCTAAAGGAAATAGTACACTCAGCACACCAGGTTTTTGAAGTCGGGAGAGAACTGTTCGTATTTTGTGTCATAGAACTCGAGTACACTCACCTTTGCTTAGTATCTTTCTTTCATTTTTATCCTTATTCTAATCTTTCTCTCATACACATATTTTTAAAAGCATGCGCCATAAATACTTCAGAAACCAATGAGTCAATAGTTGCTGCTGCTTTTGCCTTCGTTCTTTTGTTTTAGAAATTGTTTTTCTTTAATACTTTCTTTATATTTATGGTCAAAATACTAGCGAAAGAACACACCATGCAAGAAGGATTGGAAGGAGAAGGCGAAGGGAGTGACACGGCTGGAAACAGAAGTGTACGAGGCGATGTGAGGTGTGAGGTGATCTCAGGATCAGTTCATCTTAATTGTTTATCCTGTGGTTTTTCTCAAATCCACTACTACAGTGGTGGGGATACATGCAAGGAGGGAAAAAAAGAAAAAGAAAAGACTCCATTCGGACTTCAAAAAATAAATATAACTGGCTATATTTTATGACAAGAAGAATCTGTTCCGCATCTTGGTGGTCTTTCAAGGTGGGCTCTCCCTCTGTAGCTCTCAACATGCGAAAAGTAGAGACCCAGTACCTGAAGATGTGAGAATTAGGTTCTTTAAAAAAATACCTTTGAGGAACAAATTTGGACCATCTCCAAGAGAAATGAACTGTGACCTGGAAGAAGCCTTTGGTTTCACACCCGGAAAGGATGTGGATTCAAGTGGGATCTGTAACTGACGTGAAAAGGAAAACCACTAACACACCCTGGGGGCCCTCGGGCTAATGTGGGGCACCTAGGGGTCTTTGAGGTTAGCTCTCCTGGACTTCACTGGGGCCAGCAGCTGAGGTCAAATTGCACTATCCACACAGCTTGTGCCTGCTCCTCTTCTGGGAAGTGGCATTGCCACACGTTCCTCACATTCTGAAAGCTGGGCATACAATGGGTGAATTATTCCATTCAGTTTTTAACTGGGCTTCACATCAGGTGAAGTAAAACTCCAGAACCCCTTTTCAAAAAAACGTCACCAGGAGACATATGCTGAGGGCCACAACACACAAACCAATGTTATTATTCTCAAAAAGCTTCTGAATCAGAGTACATTTGTCATTCTGAAACATCGAGCTAGACCTTATGGCATGGCCTACCTTGTGGGTTCACTCTGGAGACAGGAGGCTGACTAGTAGCTGGGGACCTCCTGTGGAGACAGAGAAAAGAAGGACTGAGTCTGTGTATTAAGCCCGCCCCCTGCCCCCATGATGACTGAGGAGATTTCCAGGTCATAATGAGCTGTGGTGACATAATGCTCTCTCCGGAAGGCAGGCTCCTGTAACATGGGTAGATGACTGCAATTCTCTCACATCCAGATGGCCTGGAATTTCCCTCTGCACAGCCTCAGGATGTTTCAACTCTCCAGGAAGGAAGTTGTTTACCCCAGGGCCCTAGCCAGCCCCTCTATTTCAGGTTCTGCTGTTTCAAAAAGCTGTCAGAGGAGGAGAGGCTTGCTCAGACATCACTCCACGTGTCAGAGTGAATCCCAATTCCTCCCGGCGGTGCTATACAAAGTTATAGTCAGAGAGACCCTGAGGGATCAGTCAGTTCAGGCAGGTTCCGCAGGTTGTGCACCTCAGGAAATTGAGACTCAGAGAGGTAGTCCCTTGCCAAACGTCACACAGCCCATGAGAACAATACTGTAGCTTGATTAACTTAGGGGCCATCCTTTCACAGAGAAACTAGGGTGCTATTCTACATGATAACAAGCCTGCTGATGTCGAGAGTCAAATGAAACAACAAATCCATGTTCTATAAATAATGAGGCTCTTTCTCCTTTTCTTTCTTCTTTCATTCTCTTTCTCTTCCCTCCACCATTTTGTCTGCTTTCATTCTTCTTTCCATGCTTTGCAGTACTTCCTCTGCCTCTCTCCTGTATTCCCAGTGCATTGCTGAAGAACAGCCCAGAAATAGTATAATGCAGTGCCCTTAAAGCTTAGAATGCATCAGAATAACCTGGAAGACTTATTAAAACATACGACTTGGGGCTGGCAGGTGGTGTGGTGGTTGAGGTGCTGGACTCCCACATGACCGACTGTGGTTCAAGTCCTGGACTTGGTGACTTGCTTTCTCACTTTCTCTCTCTTCCCTCCTTCTGTCTCTCTCCAGTCAAATTTAAATACATGAATTAATTAATGAAATAAATAAATAATTATTTAAAATAAAACACAACCTATTGCTAAGCTCAGCTACGCTGCTGCATGTGGCAGGGCACCACTATGTGACACTGGAGCCATATGGGAAGACCCCTGGTTCAGGTCATGGATGTGCCCATGATACTGGAGGGCTGGAAGACTGGGGAATGGTCAAAGCATTTCAAGACCCTGTCGAGAGTCTTTTTCTCTCGATATGTAAACATAAGTAACAACAAAAACATTGCCGGATCCTACCAACAGAGTTTTGGACTCAGTAGTTCTTGGATGGGCTTGAGAGTTTGACTTTATCTTACATTTCCTGGTGCTGCTAATATGTCTGGTCTAGAGGCCACACCTTCAGAACCACCAATACTGGGACCAGCAGATGGTATAATGGTTACATTGCTGGACTCCCACATGGTAAACTGTGGTTCAAGTCCTGGACCCGGTAGCTTGAAACTCACACTGGGTATGTGTGTGTGGGTGTGTGTGCGGGTGTCCAAATCCCAAGAGGAGAATGGAGGAGACAGGATTGTGGAGTGGCCATCTCTTGGTGTGTGTGTGAGGTGTGTTTTTTGCTTTCCGTCTCTCCAGTGAGTGCACGCATCCTATAGCAAAAATATCTAAAAAACAAAAACAACAACAAAAACCAGAACCACCAGTATTAAGGACTTTCTGCCCCACAAAGAAGCAAAAGATATTAACAATGAATAAGACTGTGACACTATGGGCCAGAGGTTCTCAAACGTGGACAAGCAGCCAGCTCATTGCTAGAGCCACTAAATTCCCTCTGCCATCCCTGAAGAATCTCTCTATATATATCTAAGCTGAGGCTTGAGAATCTGTATTTTTTTACTCCTCTAGGAAATTCCAGACAAATTTGAGAAATAAACCAAATTATAAATGATAGAGAATCGCAGATTAAGTTATTGCTAAGGCAGATCTTCCTCCAGGTGTGGCTACAACAGTTTGTTAGTTTTTTGTTGATGTTGTCTGTTTATTTATTTCTTAAAAGAGATTTATGCTATAGGGTATATGCACTCACTAGAGAGACATAGAGATAGAAAGCTAGAAATCATTCCCCTGGGGGGATGGCCATGTTGCAATCCCCTCTCCTCTATTCTCCCCTTGAGATTTTGGACACACATACGCATGCGCCTGGTGTGAGTTTCAAGCCTCCAGGTCCGGGACTCTAACGGTCGACTGTGTGGGAGTCCAGCAATGGAACCATTACACCATCTGCTACTCCCTAGTTTATTCGTTTTTAAGTGCTCCAAATCAATTTATAACCCCTTTCGGGTAATCTGGCTTTGAGGTAACCATACCTTGTAGCTGCAAAGTCATTCACAAGATCCACATCTACCACTAGTGTCTTAGCTGGGTGTTCTCAGAAGGTAATTTTAAACTGTGGCTGAAATTCACATTGTGATAAGACAAGGAAAATTATAGGCCAATGATTGCTTTTCTTTGCTAAGCACTGGGTGAAGTACTTCTTAGCTTCCATTTGGAGTATTCTCATAGAAGGAAGCTGAAGCTCTGAGACTTAAGAAACATGACAAAGCACACACGGTTTCTAATGGGTATAGCGAGGACTCAAAGCTAAGTCTGAATCCAAAGTGCATGTTTTTCCCATATATCATCTGCTGATAACACCTGTACTAATACTAAACGCTGTTTTTCAGTGAAATTAAGAGATTAAATTCCAAACTCCTTAGCCTGGCTTTCAAGTCCTTAGCTCTTTGGCCTCAACATACTTCTCCCACTTTATCTTTCAGAATTCATACCCACCTGATATTTAATCGCAAATCAAGGACTGACTGTGTGCTCTCATGAATATTGTACTCTTGGAACCAGCAGTTGGCATAATGACTATGTTGCTGGACTCTAATATAGTCAACTGTGGTTCGAGTCCCAGACCCAGTGGCTTACACTCATGCTGGGCACGTGTGTGTGTGTGCCCAAGATCCCAAGAGGAGAATGGAGGAAAAGGGATTGGGGCATGGCCATCTTTCCTGGCGGGTGATTTCTCGCTTTCTGTCTCTCTCTTTCTCTCTGTCTTTCCAGTGAGTGCACATGTCTTATAGCAAAAAGAAACCTCTCCAAAATTAAAAAAAAAATTGTACTTCGTTGTAGCACTTTAAAATGGTGATTAAAATAGATACTGTCTAATATGTTCGACATGTGAGTCCTTAGATTAGATGTAAATTTTATCTAGGCAGAGGACAACTTGTTCACTTCCGTATTCCTAGCACCTAGAATGATCTTTCATACACCAACCACTCTGTAAATATTTATTGGAAGGAAGAATGAATGGAAGAATGAATGAGGAAAAGAACTGACTCATCCTATGCCAAAGCCAAACTTAGATACTTCTTTTTCCTTGAGCACGGACTGCCCATTTCTTGTCTTTACTTCAGCCATTCCTCTGTCAGGGAAGTTCTCTCCACACTAAATATTACCTGTCCTTCAAAAATCAAGTTCCCCAACAGATGATATCCTCTTAGCCAAAAATAGTTCCTGCTTTATTTGTACCTTATGGTCATTGTCTCATGTTATAATTAATTCATATAGGTACATACGAGGGGGAATGTCTTCCAAAAGTTCATGGAAATGCATATTATGAAAAAAACATACATGCAATTCAAATTTTTTGCACCAAAATAAACGTGTACTAACTAGTCGTGATATACCTTAACAGGACTTAATTTCAGGTACTAAGACAGATGGATATCTGTTTGAAAAGAGGCCCTATCAGAACAACATCAGTTCTGCTAAAATCGAAATAACAAACAAGAAGTTAATGATGCAGCTTGGGTGGAAGAATGGTGAAATCATTGATGCTTTATAAAAACATTATAGTACAATGCCCTGAGAAAACAACAATTTACCAATGGATAACTCTTTTTAAGAAGAGATGAGATGACCTTGAAGGTGACACTTGCAGTGGCCAACCATTTATAGCAATGTATTAGAAAAAACTTAATCTTGTTCTTATCCTATCTGGAAATGACTGAAGATTAACCACAGAAATATAGTCAACATTAAAAACAGCTCGATTAATTCAGTTTATACAATTCTGACTGAAAAATTAAAGTTGAGAAAACTTTCTGTTTGATGGGTGCCAAAACTGTTACATCCTAGTTCAGGTGTAGACAGGAGTAGTGATTTTGATGAAAATTTTAATTAAGCAGTATTAGGATCCTAAAGTATTTCTTCAAAGAACTGGAATAGGAGATGACACAGGTTTTATCAGTGTGATCCTGAAAACAAAGTGCAATCAAAGCAATGGCTCCCAAGCCGTGGAAGTGGTTCAAAGCAGAAGCCACCTGAGCAAGAGCAAACCATAGCAACAGTTACTTGGGATCCTTAAGGCATTTTGATTTTTCACTTTCTGAGGGCCAAGGCCTGATAATATCTGATTCGTTTGAGGTTTTTTTCAGCTTTGAGAAAGCTGAAGTTTTATCAGAAAAACACACAAGAAAGTCTTTCTCCACCAGGGCAATGCTCCTTCTCATTCCTCTCATCAAACAAAGTAAATTTTGTCAGAGTTTTGATGGGAAGTCATTTGGCATCCAACTTATAGTTCTTCTGGTTTATTCTGACTTCTTTTTATTTCCTAGTCTTAAATAAATTTGTATAGGTGAGCCAGAAGATAGCATGAAGTTTAAGTCAGTTGGATCCTACATGGCTGACTGTGCAATTCAAGTCCCTTACCCGGTGGCTTGAAAAAATGTGCTAGGCACATGTGTGTGCATGCCCAAAATCCCAAGAGGAAAATGAAGAGAAGATATTGTGGTGTGACCATTTCTCACATTTTCTCTCTCTCTAGTGAGCAAACTTGGCCTATAATAAACTAAATAATAACAACAAAAACTTTGTAGGGTACCCATTTTTCTTCAATTAATATTATAAAAAAAGACTGTGTTGATATGGCTAAATTCCCAGGACTCTCAGTTCCTTTGGAATGGGCTAATGACTGGTACTATCACTTACTAAAGTGTCTTGAACTTAG